AATATTTAGAGAGAGAGAGAGTTTCATATTTTGAAATGTGAAAATGAGTTGTAAGTGGAGAAAATAATGATATTTATTTGTGGATATTAGGAGGGGGGAGGTGGCCGGCCATGGGGGCCCAAGCCAATTTTTTTTATTTTAATTAAATTTATGCCCCAAAATTGTTAAAATGTCATTTTTCTCAATTTTGACATTTTTCTTCAAATTATAAACCCAATGGATTTCTCTGCAAACAAATACGGATATTTGCCTTTCATAAAATCTTCTCGTTCCCAAGTGTACTCTGGGCCATGTTTCGCATTCCAGCGGACCTTGCGCCTCAACCGTTTAACTTCTCGGTTCAGTATCTTGATTGGTTCTTCGACGAAGTGTAACCGATCGTTAATCTGAACATCGTCCAGGGGTAACACTATTGTTTCATCCGTTAGGCATTTCTTCATATTCGACACATGGAACGTGTAGTGGATGGCGCTTAGATTTTGTGGTAACTTCAACTTGTACGCCACTGGTCCGATTCTTTCGAGTATTTTGAATGGACCAATGTATCTGGGACCCAGCTTGCCTCTCTTCCTGAAACGTACTAGTCCCTTACATGGCAATACCTTTAAAAGTACTTTATCCCCCACTTGGAATTCTAACGGCTTTCTCCGATTATCCGCATAACTTTTCTGACGGTCTCTTGCTGTCTTGAGTCTCTCCTTGATGATTGAAATTTTGTCGGTGGTTTCCTGAATAATATCGGACGTTGTCAACTGTCTATCTCCGATCTCTACCCAGCTAAGCAGCGATCTGCATTTACGTCCGTATAGAGCTTCGTACGGTGCACATTGTATGCTGGTGTGATAGCTGTTGTTATAAGAGAATTCAACAAGGGGCAGATGGGTATCCCAACTCCCACCAAAATCTATTGTGCACGCACGCAACATATCCTCTAGAGTTTGAATAGTTCTTTCCGATTGTCCATCTGTTTGAGGATGATAGGCGGTGCTATAATCCAAGCGCGTACCCAATGCCTTTTGAAGAGACTGCCAAAATCGTGATGTAAAACGTGTATCTTTATCCGAAATAATGGAAATAGGCACACCATGACGTGTAACTATTTCATTGATGTAGATTTATGCACGCCTTTCCATGCTGAAATCTTCGTGAATGGGAATGAAATGTGCTGATTTGGTAAGTCGGTCAACTATAACGCATATAGTATCGTGCCCCTTTCCAGTTCTTGGTAGCTTAGTTACGAAATTCATGGTTATTTGCTCCCATTTCCATTGTGGTATTTCAGGTTGCTGGAGTAGACCAGACGGTTTCTAATGTTCATCCTTTACCTTGGCACAGGTCAGGCACTTGCTTACGAACAAAGCAATATCTTTCCTCATTCCTGGCCACCAATAATACTCTTTCAGATCCTTATACATTTTATCTGCTCCTTGGTGAATCGAATATCTGGATCGATGGGCTTTGTCCAGAATGGTTGATCGTAGGTAACCAACCTTTGGTATCCATACTTTATTCTTAAAGTAATGCACCCCATCTGCTTGCATTTCAAATTCTTTCTCTTAGTGCTGCAAGGTTTCATTCTTCATGTTTTCTTCTTTCAGAGCTTCTCCTTGTGCTTCCAGAATTTGAGTCTTTAAACTCGTCTGAACCATCATTCCCATAGCACGTGCTCTTGTCGGTTTTACCCTTTCCTTTCGACTTAAAGCGTCGGCTACTACATTACCCTTGCCTGGATGGTACTTTATTTCACAATCGTAGTCACTAAGTAGCTCAAC